TTCCCTAAGAAGTGTGTATATGCGCATGTGTGTATTATGTATTACAAAAAGAGGGACCTGCGATACTCATGGGGGGGAGTATGCCCCATGGCCCCCAGCCTGCAAAGCAGGAGGAGGTCCTCACTGAGGAGGAAGAGGAGGAGGCAGCTGCAGGTGAGCCCAGCAGCAGTGGTGGCAAGCCCTGCCCGGGTCCCACCTGCCCACCCGCCGCGGCTATCCCCCCCTGCCCAGCAGCAACAGCAGCGAGCCCTGCGCGGCTCCCAGCTGCCCACCCACCAAGGCTCCCCCAGTTCCCTTGCAGCTTGCAGCAGCAAGCTCCACCACAGTTCCAAACGGCAAGTCCATTCTCCACGCATGCGTGAAGTGACCCTGGTGGGGCTCCCAGCCGCTCGCCATGGCTTCTCCGTCCCACCCAGCAACAGCGGTGAGCTCTGCTCAGATCCCAGCTGCCCAACCTCCAAGGCTCCCCCGGCTCCCTCGCAGCTGCCAGCAGCAAGCTCTGCCACAGTTCCAAACGGCAAGTCCATTCTCCATGCATGTACGAGAACGCAGTTTCAGTTTTCAATTTTTTTAAACATGTCAGATTTTCTGCACACCTAAGTAATGCCTCAAGTGTGCAGGAATTTCTGTTGAGCCTCCAGGTGCCCCCAATTTGTGGAAATAAGTATCCGCACGCACTGGGGACCCTTGGCTATTAGTATATGGATACCGATATTTTCTGGGTCCAGTAGACCCAAATCGGGGGGAGGGGAGGGTTTTTTGCACACCCCTGCCTCAAACTCCTTTCACTCCAAGTCCTTTATGTCAAAACTCTGTGTGCCCTTTCAGACCAGGTCCCCTTCCTTGATACGTCTTTCCCTTTAAAGGTTCTGCCGACATCCACACTACTCTTCCCCTCTGAAACACACAGGAATCTGCCTTTGATCAGTGATTGCTGCTTCACAGCTGAAGGTTTCTTCAGCTCCTTAAAGCAGGGTTTCCTAACACTTAGACCTTATGGCTCACGGGGCTGTGGCTCTGTGGCAGAGCACCTGCATGGCACGCAGAAGGTCCCAGGTTCGATCCCCGGCATCTCAAGTTAATGTGAAAGACCTCTGTCTGTGATGGCTGTGCTGACACTGCACAGGATCTGAGCCATAGGCTTAGGCTTACCAAGTACTTACTGAGAATCGGCGGGGGACACATACTTCTTCTCAGGACCATTCCCGTGTGGAAAACAGACGCGCCGCACCATGCCATCACCAGGAAGTGACGCTGAGTGATGCTCTGGCAATGAGGCTGGAAACTCGATGGTACCATTGAGTTTCCAGCCCCATTGCCAGAGTGTCGCCCGGCATCACTTCCGGGCGACAGCATGGTGCGGCGTGGGTGTGTAACAGGGAGGAATGTTCCGGCCGGGGACCATGTATCCCCCGCCAATTCGTGGTAGGTACTTGGTAACCCTACATAGGCTGCCCAGAGATAATCTTTGTAATGAGAGAGCCTCCACAGGCTTATTTGGGGCAGGTGATAGTGTGCTTTGCCATAAAGAGATGGTTGGAGTGAGTGACTCGGCATGCCTGGACATTGGGGGGCGCTACATCACTCTAAGTGTGTAGAGGTGTTATCTCCTTGAATGGGAGGTCTCTCTTTGTTTTAACCTGGGAGCCGCCCTCTGACTCCTCTTCTCTCTCACTTTGTCCTCTCACTGCTTTCACATGGCCTTCCACGGAGACAAATGTCTCTGCAGGTCTCTCCTGGGAATTACAGTGCCCTTATTCTCCCACACGCATGATGCTGGACTAGCTGGCCATTTGTGATAGGGAACATATTCTTTAGATTAGGCTTCTCTCTCCTCTTTCGACTGCAACCTGAATGTGAACTGGATCTACTTGAATAAATGTAAGTTTACATTTTTTTTTTGCGACATACTTCTTGGAGGATTTATTTACTGCGCTCAGTACCATGCTTCTATGACTGGACAAAACTCTGCTAGATTAACCAAATATCCCAATAGAGTTCACAAAACATCAGCGAGACACTTGAAGCAGGATAATTTTCTGCTCGAATGGAGGCCCTTACCCTCATAATTGATGCAGCCGTTGGAGTCTTCCTGCCCTTTCATCAGTTCTTCTACATCTTCTTCCCTCATCTTCTCACCTGAATGGCAGGGAGACAAGGGTTACCCTCCGCTCACAGGTTGCCGTAAAAGTGCACGTGACTTCGTCATCAGTCCCTTTCATTCATGAACAATTTCACAGTTGAAAAGATCCCCCCCAAAATGGCAGGGAGACAAGGGTTATCCGCCGCTCACCTGTCGTAAGTTGCCGTAAAAGTGCACGTGACTTCGTCATCAGTCCCTTTCATTCATGAACAATTTCACAGTTGAAAAGATCCCCCCCCCCACTGTGTCACGTAAACACCTTGAAGCATATGATTCGGGCGCCATGCACCGAATCACGCCCTTAATTCCAAAAGGAATCACAGGTAAACCATGCACCAAATATCACCCTTAATTCCAAAAGGAATCACAGGTAAATCCAACAGCAAGGCATGGATTCTGTGGATGCTTCACATTAGCTCAGGAGCACTGTGGCTGTAAGTAAGCCTTTAGAAGCAAACTACTCTCTCGTTGGGAGTATAAGAACATAAGAAGAGTCCTGCTGGATCAGACCAGTGGTCACTCTAGTCCAGCCTCCCGTCTCACACAGTGGCCAACCAGTTCCTCTGGAGAGTCAACAACAGGGCAGAGAGGCTGAGGCCTTCCCCTCAGAGGAACCTCAGAAGAGCCCTGCTAGATCAGACCAGAAGTCCATCCAGTCCAGCCTCCTGTCTCACCCAGTGGACACCCCGTTCCTCTAGAGGGCCAACAAAAAGGCATAGAGGCTAAAGCCTTCTCCTGTTGTCCTCCTGGCTCTGGGATTCAGAGGATTAGTGCCTCTGAATGTGGAGATCCTCCCCAGCCGTTTATAGTCCTCTCCTCCATGAGTCCTTCCAATCCCCTTTTGAAGCCATCTATGGCTGTGGCCATCACGACATCCTCTGGCAGCAAATTCTGCATGTAACCCGAACAAATAACCTCTTCTCTCTCCTTATCTGCTGTAAAACCGATATGCCTCTGTCTGAGGTCTGGGTTTCCCCTTAGATCCTCTGACATGCCTTACCCAGGGTGGCCAGCACGTGACGGAGCTCAGCACCCATCACGGTCCCGTTGCCCTCCTTGTCAAAGACACGCAGACCCTCAACAAAGTCTTCAAAGCCTCCCTGGTCCTTGTTGTTGGCAGCTGCCTGCAACATGGGCAGGAACTCCTCGAACCCAATTTTCTTGGCATTCATCTCTGTAACAACATGGTAAGAATCTTTATTAGGATGCGCTTGGAATGTTTCGAGGAACTAAAGTTCCATGCTGCTGTTTTGACACTATATTGTGACAGACCGTCAAGGGTTAACGCCTCTCACAGTCTGAGAACCTTTGAGCGACAGGCGGTTTGAACAGGATTCTGTGGAAAGCGTCAGTTAAGGAACAACAATTGGGAACTGACAGTTGAAGAAGGGATAGTTAAGCGCTGAGTGTGGACTGGGAAGGAGACCAAAGAAGTGAGAGGATCAGAGAGGATCCCCATTCAAGCTGAAAAGGGGCAGTGCTTCTAGTGAAGTGAAGTAATCCCTGCCCAGTGAAAAGGGAGATAGCTCTTTTAAGTGATCCCTGGTTTGTGTATATAGAAGGATTTGGGGAACTTGGTTGTATGTAGACTTTAAGAGTCAGTGAAACTCAGAAACCTATGCTTGAGTGTTTAAGCAGAAACTGAAAAGAACGCCTCTTTCCTCAAAGTTTTAAAAGATCTTTTTGAATCGCGGGAACACTTATTTGTTAGCAACACATTTTTTGAGGTTAGTGTGATTAGAAAGTTTTTCGTTGTTCAGTCACTCAGTCGAGTCTGACTGTTTGTGACCCCATGGACCACATCATGCCAGGCCCTCCTGTCTTCCATGTTACTTCAGTCTTATTATCAGTTCACCTCATACCTCTTGGCCCGTTTCCCCCCGGTCCTTTCTCCTCTTAGTTAAATAAAACATTTTGTTTATTTTGAACTTTCAAAAGCTTCCTGTGTGCCATTTCAGAAGCTCAACATAAGGTGATTGTGTCTCTTCCCACAGTTCCCTGGGCTGGGTCAGTATGAAAATATATATGTTAAAGCAATTGGGTGGGACAGCCATAGACAAACAAATAAGAAGAAAATAGATATAGGGGCTGCTCAGCAAGAAAGAAGAAGGAAAGGGGGAAAATCCTGTGTGTGAGGGAGGGAAGAGGGCAAGATGGCCATGACTGCTTATCACAGCTATGTTTTCCTCTGCTCTTGAACCTCTCTCTTGTACGATACAACAGAATAAAAACATTAAGGGAATAAAGACAGGAGAAACAGAAATCAAATTAGCACTGCATGGAGATGACTCGGTCACATGGGAGGTTTTGGGCTGGAAGAGGGATGGATCGGGGGCGCAGCAAACGGGCGCGAGCACACAGCAACATCTGGGAATCGGCATGCATCTGTCCTCGATCCGTCCCTTCCGGCCTAAAGCCCGCTGCAAAAAAAACCCCAAGTAAAAAGTAGCACCAACCTGGAATGGAGCAGAGAGTGCGGCCGTGAGATCGCCGGCGCACCCGTCTGCAGGAGCAATCGAGGCTCCCGGCTGAACTGCGCACGCGCACACATGCGCAGTTCGGCTGCCTCGCTCTCCCTACAGTGGCTTCCCCCCGGCATCTGATCGTGCCGGGGAGCAACTGCGCGGCAGCTCAGGGGATCTATCTGATCCCACCGCCGCGTGTCTCTTTTGGTGCAGCTTTTAAAAGCCGCACTTCGGCCGTTCTTTTTTCCTCCGTGTGGCAGGGTCCTCAGTTATTTTTGGAAGATCTGCATCATACACTCCCTAAATTTATGGATCTTGTTACTAAATCTGGAAAAAAAAAAGTGGGGCTAGAACTAATCTATGTAACTAGAGGTCTACCTATGCATGTTCCCAAAACACTATTCTCAAAATTGACTCAGTTTTTCAAACCTTTATTCAGGGAAGATAATCAAAGACCTATAAAATCCACAGCAAGAATAACTGTGGTTTTCTCCCATTGGAAATACTAAGGCTGAAACACTCAAGACTTGCTCTTTGAACATCTGTATTTGCTCTTGAATACCTGTCATCAGGAGATGTTCTTAAGGTGAAAGAATAAAGTGTGGGAGCTTTTTCAGGACTCCTAATGTCACGGTTGTGTCCCACAGGTCCATCTCAAAGCTGGTTAAAACAGGCCATGGCTGTGCTACTAGCCAAGAGGGCTTTTCGTCTGATTGAAGGTGTTGCATGGATAACTGCAATTCGTAGGACTGTGTATGGGACTTCATATTTTTTAGTATTTTAGCTTAGTTGTGTGTTTTTTAAAGGTGGGCATGGGGGTTGTATTTGGGCCTCCCTCCCTCCCTCCCTCCCTCCTTCCCTCCTTCCTTAAGATCAGCACCGCCATCTGCCAGCCAGCCCCTTCTGGGGCCAGGGTTACCAGGACCCCCCAGTCTCCGGCAGCAGATGGGCAGAGTGAGGTTGCCAGAGCCAGGCTGGGAAACTCCTGGAGGTTTGGGGGTGGAGCCTGGGGAGGACAGAGGGACCTCAGTGCGGGACAGTGCCACAGAGTCCACCCTCCAAAGCCTCCGTGTTCTCTGGGGGTACTGTAATCTGGAGATGAGCTGTAATTCCAGGGGATCCCCAGGCCCCACCTGGAGGCTGGCATCCCTGTCTGGAGCCTAGCTCAGACAGCAGGACGGTGGGGGAGAGGCCACGGCTCATTGGTAGAGAACCTGTCAGGCATGCAGGAGGTCCCAGTGATATGGACGTCCTCCGCCTGGAGAGCCACTGCCCGTCTGAGTAGACAGGACGGACCTTGATGGACCGAGGGGGTCTGGTTCAGTTTAAAGCAGTTTTGTGTCAGTGTGTGTTCAGTCTTGGGGTTGGGGGTGGTGGCTCTGGGCTCAAGCGGGAAGGACAGAGCAGGGAAGGGGCTGAGGCATATGGACGAGGAGGGGAAGGAGGGGCGGGGCGGGAGGCCAGAAGGAAAAGCAGCCGACTGAGCTGGCAACGGCCACTGAGGCTCGCTGGCCTGGTACAGTGGGGGGATGAGTTTGGCCTCTGAAAAATCTGTCCCGGATGAAGTTAGACTGGCTCACACTAACTCCGCTTAGAGGGAACATTGGTTAAGGCCCACACAAAGGCATCTTTGGGATAAACCGTTGGAGGATGTCAGGGAGACGCGATCACGACCGCTGTCTCACCCTCGTTGCTGGGGTTTCCCAGGATCTTCTTGACTTCGGCATTGGTGGGGTTCTGTCCCAGAGCACGGATGATGTCTCCGACCTGGCTGAGGGTGATCTTGGACTCACCGGTCCTGTCGAAGAGGAGGAAGGCCTCCTTGAAGTCTGCAAGGTGGAAACGCCAAAGTTACCGAAGCCAAACAGCTGACCCATGAACTAGTTCATACCCATGACGGTGGTCCCAGATTCTTGGCCGTCAAGAAGACCCACACGCTCAGACGTATCTGCATTAGACTCCACTCCCTTCTACTACCCCAAATGACCATCAACATCTCTTGGGGATGGCAAGTGCCGTCACGTTGTACCTGACCTACGTTGACCCCAGAGGGCTTTTTCAAGTCAGGAGACAGCTGGTTTTTTTATTGCCTGCCTCTGCAGAGCGACTCTGGGCTTCCTTGGTAGTCTCCCATCCAAGTACTAACCAGGGCCAACCTCGCGTAGCTTCCAAGAGCTGACGATATCAGGCCAGCCTGGTACAGTTGCCAGCCTCCAGGTGGTTACAACAAACTGGATCACGGTGTATTTAACTAAGTAAAACACTAAATCGCCGTGTATAGTTTGACCATTTTTAAAATCTTTTTTAAATATTATGCTAGTATAAATGTTTAGAGTGTTTTCTTAATGATTCATTGACAAGAACACAGCTTATTCAGTAAGCATGAAGCTCGACAGTCCATTCAGAATAATATAACTCCTGTAGTAGTATTACTACAGGAGTTATATATAGGTCGAATCTGCATTTGCATTTTTAAATCAGTTTCGTGCTGCTGTGACGCCGTCTTTCTCTGTGCTCGTTTTAATGTTGTTTGGAGAAGATTCTTTTAAAGCAGTGCAGAGGTGCAATGACCGTGGAGCAGCCACTAAACATATGCGGACGTGCAAAAGTATGCTAGCACTGTTGAGGTGTAAAAACGACACCAAATGTAGACAGCTTTTTTAAAGATGGTGTCAGAAAGCTGGGACACTGGTGGGAAAGACAAATGCAGACTCGACCCTAATATAACTTCACAGCCTTCCCTTGGTGCCCTAAGCACATGCTAATTTTGGTTCATCCAGGACTGCCTCCCAAGTAGGCAAAATGGCTCATAACGTCCTTTGACATAATGTGGACTAGTCTGCAAACGCTGATACAGCCCCCCCCCCCCGAAGCCACACTGCTCTTCCCCAAAAGTTTTGCTGTGTATTTAAAACCTTCCTATTTTAGGACAGACACGGGATTCCGTAATCCCTCCAAGCGTTAAAGCGATGAGGCTCCATTCGTTTTCCTCAGGAGCATGTGAAGCGGTGCTATTTTGGTGTCCTCTCCGGCCCTCCTTATACTGCCTCGGGAAGTTTCCCCACACTCCTTGAAATTGCTGCGCTGGGCGTGTGGCTGTCGGACGGAAACCCGATCTACCTGCGATTAATCCCCTCACGGTCTGAAGCGGGAGTCCTCTCCTCTTACAGCTCATAAAAATTGTGGCCTTTGAGTGCTGGAAAGAGGAAGAGGTTCTCCCCTGTGGCTACGAACAACCACCCTGCTCATTCACACCCCTGGAAAAGCAGACCCCCAGCCATTTCCTCATCACTTTTAGAATTGGTCTGTTTCGGACTGGCCTCTCTCTGTCTATCGCCTCCACACATTCGCCCACAGGGTAGCCAGCCTCCAGGTGGGACTTGAACACCTCTTGGAATTACGGCTGCTCTCCGGGCTCCAGAGAGAACGAGTTCCTTCGGAGAATCAGGCAGCTTTGGATGGCAGAGGTGTCGAACTCATTTGTTATGAGGGCCGGATCTGACATAAATGTCATTTTGTCAGGGCAGGCCATGTGTGCCATAAAATGTAATGCCAGGTACCGGAGATATAGACTTTATAAAAGACACAGGTAAACCCAATGAACGTTGTTATTTTTTTTTTACTCAAAATACAACTATGCTTAAAACATTGAAACTCTTACAGTATTTCCTTAAATTATCTCCCTGATGCGCACCCTCCCACTTCTGCTGTCCATTACTCATTAACACTGGGACAGCATACAGGGATATAATGCACAGCCTCTGTCATCTGGCAATAAAGGTAATCAGTCGGTTGCAGGCCGTACAAGAGCCCTGGATGAGCCGCTTCCGGCCCGCAGGCTGTATGTTTGACACCCCTGCTCCGTGGCATTACACCCCTGCTGAGCTCTGTCCTCGCCCAAATCTCTAGGGATTTCCCAACTCAGAGTTGTCATCCCTATGCTTGTATCTATAGGTTTAGCTGGTTTGAAGGGACATTTCTGCGCAACTGATAAAGCGAGCTCTGCCCATTTTTCATGCAGTCGTGATCCCTTTTGACTTTGCCGCAGTCGACGAACATTGGTACCCTTCTGGAATTTCCTCTGTTATAACTACTTCCTTGGTTACGAATATCCACTTTCAGAGAAGTGAAGTTAAAAAAAACCCTCCCATCTTGTAGCTATTTGTGACTCCTCTTACTGGGGGAGGTGGGTTAATTCAGCTGGTGGGGAATGGACTGCCATGTTCCCCCAAGTAATATTGGCGCAGCTGTTAATTCTTGTCTGCCTGTAACTGCTTATAACTGCTACAGCAAGTATAATACACTTGAGCACATTCTCCTGTCCCTCAGACTTCCTTTTGATCACGGTACCATTTACTTGGTTTCACAACAGGTGGAAGCAGCTGAAATACTTCTCCCTAAGGCCAGGAATGTGTCTTCTCTGCTCGACATGAACACGCTACAACTGATAGGACAAAGTTTGAGTCCAGTGGCACCATCAAGACCAACAAAGTTTAATTCTGGGTACAAGCTTTCCTGTGTATAAGCTTATACTGAGAACTAAACTTTGGCCCTGGTCACATGGAGAATTTGCCGTGCGAAAGGCATGAATGCTGGGCAGATTTTTGGGGCACGATCACACCGCAATGTCTGGCAAGCATAGCGCACCCATGGCCAACCCGTGGTGTGCCACCAAAGATGCGCAGTTAAAAAGTACCTGCAAAGATCTACTAGCAAATGGTTTGCCACGGGCTGTAGACCGACTCGTTTGGTGTGATTGCGCCAGCGTGTGCCTATTCCCTCCGGCCGTCCTCTTTGCAGCACGTGCTGAAGGACGAAACCCCGTTGCACCGCCGTTGCGTCTGATCGCATAATGGTGGATCAGAATGCGACAGCGCAAATAGCCATGCCTCCCCCCCAGCGTATTCCGGCACGTGTGGCTGAAGCATTTGTTGGTGGACCCCTCGATAGAATCACAGAATCATAGAATCAGAGAGTTGGGAGGGACCTCCAGGGTCATCTAGTCCAACCTCCTGCACCCGCTGTTCCACACCCAGAAGATGACAAAAAACCTCCAGGATCCTCGGCCAAACTGGCCTGGAAAAAAATTGCTTCCTGACCCCGAAGTTGCAAGATATTTGCTCCTGTCTTGCGGCTCTCAGACATGTGGCGTTTATTCTGTGTAGCTCTTACGTTAAGCAAGTTTGGCCACCCGTGGCCTAGAGCATCCCTGACCATGGTTTGTCCAGCCGCTGCTTAAAGACTCAGACGTCGCTCCGTTGCTTCAGACCAACACGGCTACCCGACTGAATTTACACTACAACTGATGTCATTCTTTGGGATCTCGGTACAGCTAAAGATGCTTTCGTATTAGCTAGAACTGCAGGCATGCAAGGAATTGGTGTGTGTGTGTGTGTGTGAAAAATTCTACCCCAAATTGTCCTCTCCTGGATTCTCTAAGCCACAGGTTTTCAGGTGGGACCCATTTCTAAACTTCCTCTACTCTTGGGGGGCGTGCGGGACCACTGACAAAACCCTAATACTTTTCACACACAAATCCTGAACAACGGTCCTTTCCACACTAGCCCTTAAATCTTGGTTCAGCCCTGGCTTCTAATGTCCTGGCCCCACTGGTGGACCTCCTGATGGCACTGGTATTTCTGGCCACTGTGGGATACAGAGTGTTGGACTGGATGGGCCACTGGCCTGATCCAACATTGGCTTCTCTGATGTTCTTATTTTCTTATGTCCCCGAACATACATTCTACACTACACTCGAGTTCACCCCTGTAATTATCTTGGGGTATTTTTTGTTTCCACGTTAAATTGAGGTCACCCCAGTTTCGCCCCACACTTGTCCCGGGATAAACGGGCGCTGTTATAACCAGAGATAAATGCAAGGTATTGTGTGGTGAGTTGAACTCTGATAAAACCATGGATGAGATCCAAGTGCGGAAAGGACCAATAAAAAGCAAGAAGTCACATAGGTTACTCCTCTCCTGGCTTACTCTGTTCCCACCTCTGACCCAGCAGGGAGAAAGTCACAGCCTGCCCAAGGGTGCTGACTCACAGTGTGGGAACTACTGCTGTGAGCAATCAGGGGCTTCAGCAGGTTGACCCCCCCCAAAAAAACCCCTCTTTCCCCCTTTCCTGACACTCACTCAGCAGCTCAGTTTGGCCCTCTTCCACTCCTCATCTTCCCGGATTATTTTAGTCATTTAGCAATCCCCCCCCCCCCCGACTTAATTTAGATGCATCCGTTTCTCTGCACAGCTCTGGGGAATGGCCCGAGTCTGTCGGAGCCCTGCCTTGTTTATGGATGACCCTGTTGGGCTGTTGTTATCATCCACCTAGGGACTAGTCACGTTGCTATTAGATACATTCACATATTCAGAACAGTGGACCCCCCTGGGCCGAATACAGATATAGGATTCTTATCTCACTATAGATGCTAATTCTCTGCCTCCGAGCATTTCTCCTCTGCACTAAACAAGCGGATTACAATGTGCAAGGTACCTGTGCACCCTGTGTCCCTCCTTTACGACACCCTTCCCACCTTCAGTCTGCGATAGAAGGACTGGGGGAATCTCCATTCCTGCTTGTATCTGACAAAGGGAGCTTTGACTCTTGAACACTCTTACCCCCCCCCCAAATCTCGTTGGTCTCTGGGCTCGAATCTAGCTATTAGAGGCTGTCATTCTGAATGACATGTATAGCCAATGTATTTATTTTTTCAATTTGTACCCTTCCCTCCCTGCTCAGGGCGGCTTACACAGTTGGTACAAAAATACCAACAATTTAGAGTCCAGCGGCACCTTTAAGACCAACAAAGGTTTATTCAGGGTATGAGCTTTCGTATGCCTTGCACACTTTTTCAAATACACTGGAATGGAAGGGAGGGTTCAAACTTATAAACAGTCTCAACAGCAAGTTTGAACTCCACCTTCCATTCCAGTGTATTTGGAAAAGTGTGCAAGGCACACGAAAGTTCATACCTTGAATAAACCTTTGTTGGTCTTAAAGATGCCGCTGGACTCTAGATCTGTTCTACTGCTTCAGAACAGCGCGGCTGACCACCTGGAACTATCTCCATCTATAGCCAAGACTGGCATTATCATCCGGTCTCTTCTAATACTGGGCAGAGCATTCAGCAGGTAATGTTCGAAAGCTGCACGAAAAACCAGCAGCGAGTTCCGAAACAAGACTTGCTGTATTACAGCTGCAATATATGTTTCCATTAAAGAATTTTCATATAGTGCGCACTGCTTCATCTATCATACATGGTGTTTCTGGTAAAGATTCTTTCCCAGTTCTTCAAAGAATTCCCCTTTCAGTAGCTCCCTCAAAGAAATGACCAGAATTTCCAGTCTAACGCAGGTTTTCTTCTGCCAAGACTAAGGGCCCATTAGGAAGCGTAATGTATCTTCCAGTCGATATAGATTTTTTCCCCCAGTGAGTTACAGAGGCAGGCAATGCACAAAGCCGGTATCAACATTCACAAGGACCCAGGCGTATGGAATCAAGGAATAGTCCCAGAACTCTGCCTATTCCTTGATTTTATTTTTTGGCAGAGTGGTGAATGTTAATATTAAGCACTTGTGAGTACTGGCCATCAATGTTCGGCAGGCAATGCACAAAGCCGGTGTCAACATTCACAAGGACCGAGGCCTATGGAATCAAGGAATAGTCCCAGAACTCTGCCTATTCCTTGATTTAATTTTTTGGCAGAGTGGTGAATGTTAATATTAAGCACTTGTGAGTACTGGCCATCAATGTTCCCTCTAAGCTCTGGAGTTTTGTGAGCAAAAATTCTACTTAGCTACTGGCATTAAAGTTGTGTGCGAGGGATTTGGCTACTGCATAAGTTAGTTTGCTCTGGAGCCATCCTTCCTGAGCTAAGACAAAAATGTGTGATCCAGAGGCTAAAAAAACTGTGAGCTGGCTCACACTAACTCAGCTTAGAGGGAACACTGCTGACCATGATGACCATGAATCTAACGGGAAAAAATATTTTCTCCCACTGAATGCTGCTGAACAGATTTTGGTGACTATCAGCATTTATTGTACCCCTGCTTTTTAGACATTCCCATAATTTGCTTGGGTTGTTATGAACCAACGTAATTTCAGGCATTCAGTGAAACATAACCTGAATCACAAGTGATATCTTTGCCAAAGACCTGCTTCACATATGACCTCGAACTTCACATATGACCTCGCATACGATTCTCAGACTACCTACAGTGGTTTGTTTGCCTTTTGGTACTTTTATTTTGCTTATTTCCCTTTGAGTGGTGCAACCATCCTGTCCTGTGATGCAGCGCTGCAATAGTGTGGCTTTTGGGACACTCCATCCTGTCCCCGGCCAAGGAAGGCTGACAAGACCAGCCAGATCAGAGTTACACCCTTCTAACCCCCCCTGGCTTCAGTGGATTTAGAAGGATGTAACTTGGGAAGGATCACCCTGTTCGAATCCTTCTATCGATCAAGAAGTGGTCTTGTATTTATTTGAATATTAACTGACCAAACAATTCAAATAAAATTTTATTGCAACAACACTCCTATTTTAGAGTATTTAAATGACAGGTGAGGATGGTTGTCTGACAGGTGAGTGGTTTATTACCGGGGAAAAGAGAATTGTTACCTGAATAATATGCTCAGCCCTGTTTGTTTGTTTTTAATCAGTAAAAGTTTGATTTGTCTCTTGGATGCTTTCTGAACGAAGTGACGTGTATATATTCACCGGACACTCCAGAATCCTTCATCTACTTATAGGCATCTTTTAAAACAAACCAACCCTGTTTCCTTCTTTAAGTTAACCCCCTGCTTACCACCCACTGCTTTCCTACAGTGCCTAAAACAGAAGACAGCAATCTGGATGAACTCTGCTTTCCTGTGCTCAGTTTCAAGCTTGAACACCTGAGGAAATTTATTTATTTATTTTTTATTTATTTTTATTTATTTATTGGGATTTTTACCCTGCCCTCCCCGCAAAACGGGCTCAATATGCTTTGTAGGTGATGCATGTCCATCTAGCTCAATTCAAATCAATGAAGTTTTACAGTTTATGCCAGTGAACATATTCCAAAGGCATCTTGCATGAAAACACCTCTGCGTGTGCTTACTGCCTACCCCATAACACTTACCATCCTGTTGTTCCCTGGAGAACTCAATCTGTGTGAGAGAAATCAATCACAAAAAAACCCTTTTTAAAAAAGAGACTTGCTGGAATGTAAAGCCTCCAGGTCGTCCCTTGAGACTTCTTCCCAAGATGCAAAAGCAGAGAAGCAATCCTTTTTTCTTCTTCAAGAGTTGTTGAGCTGCCACCAGATTGCTAAATGGGGTGATTCCCACTCAAACGAGTGAGCAACCACAATGGATGTACTTTGGAGTGAATCATACATTTAATACGCACATAATTGAATTTGTATGCCACTTACCAGCAATCTGATCAGCGCTGAAGGACTGCAGTTGGCAAAAGAGAGAGAGAGAGAGAGAAAGGAAAGAAAACAACTAGTATCGTTGGGAAAAAATGCATTGACAGAAAAACGGTTGCATATACCTTACAACTAATCCCTGTCTAACCGGTGTGAGCTAGGCCACAAATATTGCTGTTACTTCTTAGTAACTAGCTATTAAAGAAGGCACTTGATACAATTTGAAGTGCACTATTAAATATCTTTACTGGTCACGGAAACGAGTACAGTGTGACTTGTAATCTAGTGGGTCAAATACCTTTTTTTGTTAAAGAGAGAGAGAGAAAAATCACTATATTTTGTCATACAAACAGAACCTTAAGATAATTGGAAATGCCATTGCGTACGATAAGCATATTTACAAGAACGAGTACATTCAAGGAGCAGCATCAGAGTCCAGGATCACCTTATAAGACCAACAAGATTTCCAGAGTATAGACTTTCAAGAGTCAAAGCTGCCTTCATCGGATATCTTTAAGGTGCTACCAGACTCGAATCTTCTCCTGCATAGCATAACGGCTAACCCCTTGAAACTACACATAAGAACTCTTTCATCCTGTAGCTCCTTATTGTAAAACTGTCCTTTTCATTACCGGTTTGTTGTGCATTATGCACAAACATTTTAGTAAATACTAATTATATATTACTACGAGCTGTGACCTGATGGAAAACGTGTAAGCCACTGCCCAAGACATAGTTGCCCAAATATTTCAGCCGGCTTCCCATTTACTCCAAAAGATCAGCCACTGCATACACAGACATTCCTCCCTCCCTTGGTCAGACAGTACGCTGCACATGAAACTGGTTTCCCTGACTGTCTTAACCCGAAGCGGTCGGAAGCTGTGCATGCTAAGTTCCCCCACTGGCTCACTTTGCAGAACTTAAATAGTCTTGTGAACCCACCATGATTCAGAAAGTTGGAAGGGAAGAGCAGCAGCAGCAGCAGGGAGGCGGGCGGAATTAGCCGCGAGCTGTCTGAATCCCTGAGAGTGGTCCTGACTTTCTGGCCTGCCACCTTCTTATTTAAGTGGGGGCGGTGACGTCGGGAGTGGGATTAAGTGTCAGCCAGAAGTGGCCACTCCCCCTTGGAGAGTTTTTTAGCTTTCTTAGGGCAAAGGGAAAAGAGGGATCCGTTTCTCGACGGACCTCTTTTAAGGGGCTATTTTTAGGAGGCCAAAGAGAGGCAGGGGGAACGGGTCGCTGCTTCCCTGGATTTGAATCTCGTCAGCACTTTTAGGTCTGCGACGTAAAGATGGAATATTGCTTATCCAGTCCCCCTCGTGGCTCCTCCTTGAGCAGGATGCCTGTTTAAGGGGCTCTCCAGTCAGCAATCCGGACAGTGGAGCGCCGCATGGTTCGACGAACATTTCGCTTTTGGTTTTGACATCTCTGGCATGTGGAGAGAATGACGTTTGTTGGCCAACGGATTTAGTCCTGACTTATCGCATGCCAGAGGAAGGATCATCCTTGCTTTCTGCCAGATCAGTCTTTTCGCCTGTTCAACCGGTGACTCGGAACAGAAGTGGCTTAATTTAGTCCCCTGAATTCCAGCGAGTCGAGTCCATTTTAAAAGCACAGAAGTTCGGCTGAACTGCTTTGTGGGCTGCAGTCTTGACCTTGGCTCCACACCGTAACCCCGCAGAAGACAACGGATCCAAGGGCATGCAATTCAAGGGCAGGACTGAGGACCCAAGCTTGTAGTTCAGGGATTCCACGAAGAATGCCCACTGGTCACTCTCCCTGTGTTCTCCTACCGTGGGCTTACTTGCATTGTGCAGATCAAGCCCGAATAGGATGATGTGGAAAGTAGTCCACAAGGACTGTGGTCAAGGGGGTTGCCAATCTCCAGGTGGGGCCTGGTGACCTCCTGGGATCAGCCCTGATCTCCAGACTGCAGGGATCAGTTCTTCTGGAGAAAATGGCTGCTGCGTTTAGACCCCACCCTTCACTTGGAGTCTCAGAGCGGCTTACAAACTCCTTTCCCTTCCCCTCCCCACAACAGACACCCTGTGAGGTAGGCGGGGCTGAGAGAGCTCTTTCTGGAACTGCTCTTTGCAGAACAGCTCTGAGAGAACTTGTGACTGACCAAAGATCACACCTCCAGCAACATGTGGAGGAGTGGGGAATCAAACCCGGTTCTCCCAGATTAGAGTCCGTGCACTTATCCACGACACCAAACGGGCTCTTTCTGACCGCAGCCAAAGAGTCTTCTGAGGTCGCTCAGATCTTACAGTCCCCTCAAAAGGAAACGTTGGACAGCGGGGCGGGATTTGGAAATGATTGCCCCCTCCCACACATCCTTGTTTTGTTTTGTTTAACTCTGAAAGAGGCATGTTTAAAATGTGGGCTCAGAGTCACGCCTTCTCAAGCGATGAAATTAACATGCCCAGCAAGCTTCAGATATGGTGGATTTCACCAGTACACGTTCAAATTTTTGTAAGTCAATTTTGAAACAATGCCGTAGAGCAGGACTCCCCAGTGTGGTGGCCGTGGGCGCGATGGTGCCCAGCGACACCCTTCCTGGTGTCTGCCAAGTGTTTCGAGAAAGCGGGCAGGGTCAGGTGGAGTTTTTGCCCAGCGTGGCTTCTGATTAGCGACTGGAGACTGGATTGGCTGTGCAGATTGTCAAAAGTGTTGCTGTGGTAACAGCCGGCACCACACCGCAAGGCTCTTCACTGCAGCAGCCATTTTGTGGCGATTAGCGATTGGAGACTGGATTGGCTATGCAGATTGTCAAAAGCGTTGCTGTGGTAACGGCCCGCACCACACCACGAGGCTCTTCACTGCAGCAGCCATTTTGTGGCTAGCTCCACCTCCTGCAGCAGCCATTTTGTGGCTAGCTCCACCTCCTTCAGCAGCCATTTTGTAGTCACACCCACCACGCTGTGTCAGAATTCCCAAGGTGCCCGCAGGCTCAAAGAGGCTAGGGACCCCTGTTGCAGGGTTACCATTCCCATTTCATGAGCAGAAGGGCACTTCCTCCCACGAGAGAGCAAGGGACTACTTTAAAGGCAAGTGAGAAGCCAAGGTGGTTTGCCATCACCTTCTGCTACAGAGTCTGCCTTGGTGGTCTCCCATCCAAGTACCAGCCCTGCTTAACTTCCAACTTATGGCAACCCCAGCAAGGGGCTTTCAAGGCAAGTGATTAAGCTAGGATGGTTTGCCATTGCCTTCCTCTGCAGAGCCTTCCTTGGTGGTCTCCCATCCAAGTACATATCCTGCTTATCTTCCGAGATCTGAGAAGGAGAGGTGGCTTGCCATGGCCTTCCTCTGCAGAGCCTTCCTTGGTGGTCTCCCATCCAAGTACCTATCCTGCTTCGCTTCCGAGATCTGAGAAGGAGAGGTGGTTTGCCATGGCCTTCCTCTGCAGAGTCTTCCTTGGTGGTCTCCCACCCAAGTACCGACACTGCTTCGCTTCCATGATATGAGAAACAGAGGTGGTTTGCCATTGCCTTCCTCTGCAGAGCCTTTCTTGGTGGTCTCCCAACCAAGGACTGACCACGCATAGCTTCCGAGATCTTAGAAGGAGAGGTGGTTTGTCGTTGCCTTCCTCTGCAGAGTCTTTCTTGGTGGTCCCCCACCCAAGTACCGACCCTGCTTCGCTTCCGAGACCTGGCTGTACAATGCCGCCTTCCCTCCCTACAAATATATTACTGAGTAATAATGAATCGTTTGTGATGTTTGTGGTGGGTGCATTCGCAGAGGTTTCACTGTTACAAACGGTTTTCTTCTTTAGCTATCCTGCAGCTAAAAACGGCCAATCTTTTATTTAGTTAGATTGTTCATTTATAGCCCACCATTCCCACAGAGATTTAAGACAATGACAAAATATCAAAACCCATTCAATCAGACACTATTTTGTGGAATGATAGTTAGAATATACGGTTAGCAGAGCGCCCGAGGCTTTAACGCAGCAGAGCCCATCTGGTCACAGTGTTTGTGGATGAAAGAAACAAAAGTTACACAGAGCCTCTTTTATATTTGAAACTTAATAAGGGAGTTTATTATAGGGACCCCATTTTCTGGATAGGATAGAGGATAGATTCTCTAATCTAAGCTAACTAGACACTACCCAAAAGTGTCTTAGAGCAGCTTACAGTCTCCTTTCCCTTCCCCTCCCCACAACAGACACCCTGTGAGGTAGGTGGGGCTGAGAGAGCTCTGACAGAAACTGCCCTTGAGAGAGCAGCTCTGAGAGAACTTGTGACTGACCCAAGGTCACACCAGCAGCTGCATGTGGAGGAGTGGGGAATCAAACCCGGTTCTCCCAGATTAGAGTCTGCGCTCCTAATCACAACACCAAACTGGCATCCTGCTCTCGTGTTGCCAAGACGGAGAGTTAGGCGATGGTGGTGTGCGGGTGAGGGGGAAGCCAGAAGGAAGGAAATTGTCCTTGCAAATTGAAATCTACTTTAAAGGGATAACATCAAATAACGGGAGCAGAGGATGCCCTGTGTCCTCCTGACTTCTCTATCTGTGTAACTCTTTTGTAATCTTCCTCTGAAGTCTAAGGCAGGAGACAGTGCACAGTCCTCAACCCCCAACAGGTAGAACTGTGGGGTCATGTAAAAGGTAAAGGTAAAGGTTCCCTTGCTCGAAAGCCAGTCGAATCCGACTCTAGGGTTGCGGTGCTCATCTCCGTTTCAAAGCCGAAGAGCCAGCGCTGTCCGAAGACGTTTCCGTGGTCATGTGGCCGGC